TTGTGAGAAGACAGGTCACTGGTAACACATACATGGCCACGTTCGCTTCTGAAATAGCACTGATCGAAGCGGACAAGGAAGCCGACAGGAAGTATCGCGAGTTGATTATGGAAGCTGAAAATATCTTGGTAAATATGCAAAAGAATCAAAGCTCCCTGCCGATCGTACCGTCGCCATCGCGTAAGTTCCACAATGGTCTGGCGAATAAGCGTGTCGAACTGATCAAGAACACGGAATTGAACATCGAGCTTGCTTTGTCGAAAAGTAGAAATTCACAACCGGAATTGCAAAGTGGTAATATCAGGGATATCGAGCATACCAGTCCAAAGAGACAATTCACGCAGCCATGTTCGCCCGTTCATCGTTTTATGGAAAGAAATTCGTGTGGAAACATATCGAGGGATGTTCCCTATAAACAGGACATTTCGAATTGTCCTGATTCACCTTACGTATCAAGAAGAACGCCTCAAGGTTCACCTAATCGAACCCTCGTTCATTCACGTTTACGCGGTATTTGTCCTACTACTACTAGTACTACTACAACTACTATTACTACTACCACTTCTGCTACTACTACTACCACCGGTGTAAAGGACAACGGGCGTGCTCGAGTTATCTTGAATTGCAACGGAGTGACACAGTCTGCCGTTGAAACGAACGATTGTCAACCCTCTCAAGGTTCCTTCCCTAATAAGTCTCAGCACAGAGATTCACGATTAACTGTAGATAATAGGAAGGACTCGAGAGTTTCAATAACGAACAAGGAGGATGAGGATGATGATGAGGAGGAGGAGGAGGAGGAGGAGGAGGAGGATGGTGGTGGTGGTGTGACATCAAGCTCGTCGGATTCCGAGGAGAAATGTGACATCAGGCGGAGACCACCTCTGATGACGTTCAGGTGGAATTTTTTTTTTAAATTAATCGATATATTTAAAATTAATGAAATAATGTAAAGAAATATGTACGCGTTATATATATGGATCTATCTGTCCGTTTCTTGTATGTTTGATATATATATTTCTTCTTTTTTTTTTTTCTTTTTTTACCTTTTACAGATCAATCGATATGGGCCCGATCAAAGAAGGTTCTTCTTATTGTCCTCAGAGTGAACCAGTTAAAAGAAAGGTTTATGCCGGTAGTGCAACTTACGGTAGGATACAAAAGACATTAGGTCATCATCAAGTATTATTAAGAAATTCTGATGGCGATACGGCCACCGATGATACCGGTGAGCCAACTTCTAATCTTTTCCAAAACTACCATATTCTACCATATCAAAGAAGATCCTTTTTAAACTCGTTCGTATCACTGGATTCAGATGATTCACGAAGATCCTTGAAGGAGAAAGTAGCACAATTACGTCAAGAGCGTTTAGCAGCCGAGGCAAATGCTAACGTTCAAGACTCTCAATTATTTCAACAACAGCTTACTCAGCTAAGAAGGCAAATGTTGATGCAAACTATCGAAGGTTTAAAACGTAGCCTCGAAGATCAATCGGCTACGTTGAAGCAAACTTGTTTGGAGCCGGTATTGTCCGATGAATTGCCTTGAATGATTAATTGTTACGATGCTCGATGTTCAGTTTATCATTTAAAAAGAGAACGAATCTTCCTCAAATCATCATCATCAATCGTAACTTCGCTCGAGAGAAAAGCTGGATTTTCTTCTCTTTAGCGATCATCATTATATCCCATGCTTTTTAACACAATGAAACACGTACACAACACACTATTCATTAATTAAAAAACTACTGGCACCATTATTACGTGCAACGTGATCATGACTGACGAATTTACAGAATTATTATACTGCTCGTTAAATAAGATAAAGAAGAGAAGAGAGAAAGAGTGAGAGAGAGAGAGAGAGAAAGAGAGTAGTATATATCCGTGAAAAATACTCAAGTTTTATCTAGATAGGTAGATATCATCGATTGATGATAATTTATATAAAAGAAAAAGAGGGGAAAAAAAAGAAATGAAAGAAAGAAAGAAAGAGAAAAAAAAGACCGATCTAACGATGGAGAGAGAATCTGCTGTAAGTATTTTTCAGGAATATTCTCAACAGTCGAATTTCGTTTGCAATTTTTTTTTTTTTTTTTTTTTTTTTTTTTTTTTTTTTTTTTTTTTTTTTTTTTTTTTTTTTTTTTTATCATCGAATTATAATATGTAATGTGATTTCGCCGAAGATAAAATGGATCTATGAGGCAGAATATCGATGGAAGCAAATGTATATAGCTGAATTACTACCGAATGCTGACGCATGTTGCGCAAACGAATCGATGTATTTTTCTGCCTGTCTAATAACGTGGTAAGACATTCGTAATTGAAGATGTATATTTTTAAGGTCATCATTCTCTTTGTCTACATTCAACGACGCTTCAAGTATTACCTTCTCTTTTTTTTCTGCTAATATATATATATATGTGTATATATATATTTTTTTTTTCTTTTTTTTTTTTTTTCTACTTTTGTTCATTGACAATTCAAAGTAGATATTTCACGCTATTTGTCACAGTGACGTTCTAGCAAGTGTTCACATTAATAGGAAATATTAATAATATTTCAATTGGGATCTTCCATGATTAGGTTTCCTCGACTATAATAGTGTGTTCAGATAAAGGAGAAGTAAAAATTTCTAATAAATTTGTAGAAATCTTTGGACTTTGTCTTTGACGGGCCTATTCGGAGGTGTCGCTTTAATCTTTAACAGAAGCTTGATAAAGAAAAGAATTCTAAAAGTCGTCGGTGAAAAAAAAAAAAAGAAAAATAAACACGAATAAATACTAAACGAATGTTAAAAAAAAAAAAAGAAAAAAAAACAAAAGGAAAAAAAAAAAAGGAAAAAAAAATGCATGTAGTCTATTCATATAGCAAATCTAGGAATTCACATCTAGCAGAAGCATAAACAGGTAGGTAATATGATGAACTATAATCGATTAGATATTAGGAAATTCCTTAAATTGTGTACCCAATGAATATGGCCCAAATTTATCCCATAAAAAAAAAACTTGTTCTATCGCAGAAAATAAACAGTACGCGCATACTCATTTAGAATTTTCTTGCTTGTTAAGAGCAAGGATCTTTTTTTGTTTTTTATTGATATGCTTATTATCATGCAAATAGTTTCTCCATAAAAATTCTTGGAATGTATTAAGTTTTAATTAATTAATCTTACTTTTCAGTGTACTGTACAAATGTATAGTATATATGAGGGAAAACAAAAAAAAAAAAAAAAGAAATAGAATCCTACCCAAAAATCTCTTTTCTTTCTTTTTCACAGTGACTACATGTGTAAATTATTTTTTACAAGTAGAACTAAACGAAATGGCGTATTGTAATTCATCAACATTACTCATAATGTTCCTATATCTACGAAATACATACCTTTAAAGAGTAATATCAGTTATCAAACTGATAAGATGACCATTGCTGTCGATAGAATAAGCGTACTTCCCATTACCATACCAAAGATGATAATCTAGCATAGTACTATAGAATTATTTAGTTTATTAAAAAATACTAAATGCGCATACACTAATAACATTGAATAATTCAAAACGATTATTATAATGTTAATTTCAGATTATCGTAGAAAATGAATTATTTTTATTATGTTTTAGAAGAATATAAAAATCTTCAATGATATATACCAGAGTCAATTCTTAAGTGATTATTACAGTTCAAATTTTACTTATTAGATAATAACATTTTTGCCAATTAAATGGCCTATCATAATTTATATTGCTAAATCCATGCGTGTTATAAAAATTATTGTTATTAATATTAATGTTCAAGTCTTATCTAGAACATCTTAACTAGAACATTTATTATTAAGTATTGTTTGTTGTAATAAATTTAATAATAATAATAATAATAATAATAATAATAATAATAATACAAATACTCTGGTTGTTTCATACAAGAAAAGAAAAGCAAAAGAAAGGAAAAGAGCCGGTTCTACATTCTGTGTAATTGTGATATCTACTTTAACAGATATATAAAGATTTGACTCTGGTGATTCAAAGGATAAGAATACTTTCAGTCGCAGTGATATTTTTGTGAGAATAGACTGATAGAGTTATTTATTATTGTTAGATTAAAACATTTAGAAATGATTATTTACATGTGATTTATATGTTAAATCTCCCTTCATGGGCAATGGAATGTAATGCGCACATGATATTTATTTGTGTTAGGTATTAGAAAACCATAGTAAAAGAGAGACATTAGAAGAATATAGCGTTAGTAGAATTAGAGAGATAGGTAACCAATGATTAAAAAGTTTAGAATATTCCTTTAAATATTTCTTGTGATTTATTTTCGCATTTTGCAAAAACTTTTTTATTGTACATTGTACAACCAGTTGGGAAGTTAGTTCCGATAATAAGAATGTTGTTTTATGTTTCTAAGCTAGCTTAGATTATATGAAATAATTCAAACTTTTATACATAAAAACTGTACAGACTTAGTTTTTAATCAATGAAGATTATAATTTTACAATTTACACGTCAAGAAGGTTAATACATATGAATATAATTATTTTCATTAGTTGCATCAACACATTCCAGAAGTATATAGAACATTAGCACGTTATACATCTAACATTTAAAATTTCTATTTGAGATTCTCATTCATAATTTAAAAATAGTTAAAAAAAAAATAAGAAAAAAAGAAGAAAAGGAAAAGAAAAGTTTTAATGTTAATTTGTGATCATAATTGCAGGCATTTGTTTTGGCAACAATTGGCAGGTTTGGACATATTCAGAGGAATAACGAAATAATTGTTGCAAATGATATTTCCTGTGTATTGAGCCATTTATGAAATTAAATGGTTTTTTTATATGATTATGAATAAATTATATTATGTCGTTAGAGTTATGTGTCAGTTTGTATACTCATATCCTTCCAAATCAACATTAACATGTTTAAGTTGACATATAAATCCAGCAGTAATATGTTACTTTAAATGCAATTACTTTATGAGAAACAAAAACACAGATACTTATGCATTATGAAATTACTGCTTTATTCAAGGACTTTGTACATAGTTGATATAAACAATATACTTAGTAAGTAAACAATATACTTAATAAGTAAATAATCTTTTGTGTTATTCTAAATTGCAATTACAAAATATCCATACTTTAGAAAGTATGATAATGAGTATAATGAATAAATGCAATCTAACAATTTTCAACCAGAAGGGTATACATGTAGATTGTATAAACTTAATAATTAATTAAAACAATAAAGAAACACTAACTGAGAACTATTTTATATACATCATTTTATGAATAGATATTTTATTTAACTCTTTCAAATCTGTGCTCAATTTCGGTTATTCCAACAGGTTTCTTTATTTTCTCGCAATATTCAATCCATTCATATTCATATAAATCAACATCCGTAAATTCTGTACCATTGTCTATAGCTTTTGCAATCCATCCTTCTCGTGCAGAAAAATCACAAGGTTCTAGTCCTCTACAATCTAATATAACGATTTTTTTAAATCTCCCTTGATCTTCAGCAGTAAACGATTTGATAGAATCTTCTACAATAGTCATAGAGTTCTCACGACCACAAAGCTTGCATTTAGCTAGAAAATGATTCACAGCATTCCCCTTTGTACTTGGGATAGAATCTTCTAAAGAAACAGAGCACCATTTCTTTGTTATTTCACCACAATTGCAACATTTAAATTTAAAATACCAATTATGGCTTAATCCTGAGGACTTCAATTCTTCTATATTCTCCAACAATACTTTGATTTTCAATGCTATCTTAACCATTTTGGTTACAACGATTTATATCGATTTAAAAATTTTTTTCACACTTAAATTGAACTAATCACCCTGCCCTTTTCCTGGGTACAAAATTTTTCTAGGGCTTTTAATTTCTGTATTATCATTAAATTAAGTTCTGTCGTCATTGACATTAACAAATATTTATAACGTGAGTCCAAATACATGCTAGATAGCGCATGTGTATCAAATAAGGTTATGTCGTAGCGACAATTTCACTTCAGTAGCAGACGATGATAAAGATGTTTGAAAAGCGAATAAGTATCGTTCTTTTTCTAAATTATTTATTGATTTTCTCTACTGAAATTATTGCCCAAGATATTTTAGGATGTGGTGGATTTTTAAAAAGTCATGCTGATATCGATTTTACAAAAGTTCACATTAAATTGTAAGTATACATGTTGAGGTTATGTCGCCTTGCATTTAATGGTATTAATTAAATAATAACATTATTTAATTTGTATATATGTCAGATATACTAAGGCTGGTAGTTTAAAAGATGAGACAGAATGTGCTCCAAATACTGGATATTATTTTTTACCTCTTTATGATAAAGGAGAGTATATTTTAAAGGTATACTACATAGAAATCTTAATGTCATCTCTTTTTGATATAGACTGATATTTTAATTAGAAATAATTAACACACAAGAATGTTTATTCTTAAATATATTTAGGTAGATCCTCCTAGAGGTTGGAGTTTTGATCCCATGGAAGTATATTTAAATGTAGATGGTTCTACTGACATTTGTAGCCAAGGCAAAGATATTAATTTTACTTTCAAAGGTTTTGGCATTACAGGCAAAGTAATTCATTCTATTTTAACAATGATTCTATTTGAGAAATAATATATCAACAAATATATATATATATATATTAATCATCTTTTTTATTATTAGGTAACCAGTTTTAATTCTTCTTTTGGTCCAAAAGATGTTACCGTATCATTATATAATGCTAATAATAAAGAAACTGTAGTTGGATCAACCAAGACTGCCGACAGTGGAACATTTTATTTTACACCTATTCAACCAGGCAAATATATACTTGTTGCATCTCATCCTACGTATGTATTGTATAATATAAATACGCTTATATTATATCAAAGATTATTATCTCTTTGTATTGATTAAGGTGGATGATCAAAAAAAATACAATTGAAGTAACTGTACAAGAAGGTAATGCTGAACTTTCAGATGATAGTTTAGTAATATTTGGATATGATGTAAGAGGTCAAGTCACCAGTGAAAATGAACCAGTCAGTGGTGTATCCTTCATAGTTTTTGGTGTAAGATATATCATTGATTAGAAATTTATTAAATTAATATTTATTAGATAATATTAATATTCATTTAATTATACAGAATGGCGCTGCAAAGAATTGTGAAACTTCACCAGTTAAGGGATTTGAATCGAAAAATCCACTTTGCCATGTTACATCTGATAAAACTGGAAAATTTGTTTTTCCTGCATTGTCAACTGGTGATTACAAGCTTGTCCCACATTATCCTAGTGCTCATACTAAATTTGACGTTCAACCACCCGAATTATCATTCAAAGTTAGTCACAATAGTCTGACGTTATCGCAAGATTTTAAAGTGACTGGTTTTACGGTGACTGGGGTAGTTCGCATGTCAACAGGTGGCAAACCATTGGCAGAAGCAAAAATTATATTCGCTGGGAAAGAAGTAGCTGTAACAAATGAAAATGGAAAATATACAATAGATAATGTAAAAGCTGGACAATATACTCTGAAAGCAGAAGCTGGTTAGTAAAAGAATTGTAAATATTATTTATAAAATTAATATTAAAAATATATTTATATTTAGGTAATGTCCAGTTTGAGGAGAGAACAGTTAAAGTATCCCCAAGTTCACCTGAATTGCCAGTTTTAATACCATCTATGTATAAAGTTTGTGGAAAAGTTACATTATCTGCAAAAGGAACTTTACATTTCCGTAAAGTAGCTATACAAAATATCGCTGCTACATTCCAAAGAGAAATTGATACTAATGAAAAGACTGGAGAATATTGTGTACATTTAAAGCCTGATAAATATCAATTAAGTGTAATCGTGAGTAATGAAGAAAAAACTAAAGGTTTACAGTAAGTACTTATATGAAATATATGAATTTAAATTTGATTAAATTTATAAAACATTAATACTCTCGATTATTGTAATAGATTCTTTCCTTTACAACAAACCATTGATGTATCATCTGAGGCAATTAGCAATATCAACTTTCTACAATTGAAGGCACTTTTAACTGGCATGGTCAAATGTTTGCCAGGGATAGATTGCAGTCAAGCTTCGGTTACACTTAAAGTACTCGATGGAGTTACAATAAAAACTTCGACAACGAAAGGTGAGATTTAAATAATATAATATAAATTAATATTTTTATTTAAAAATTAAGGAATAACAAATATATGATTAATGTCAAGGTAGTATAATTTATTGATGATATTTTTGTTTTAAAAGAAAATAATATATATATATATATATATATATATATATATATATATATATATTTCTTATACTCCCAGCATTAAATATATTTGTTATTAATATAATGTTTAAGTTTAACTAATATTACTGTCTCTGTCTGTGAAGTTAATTTCTTTCATGCAGATGGCCAATATGAATTTTCCGATGTATTACCAGGACATTATGAAGTTTTAATAGATAACGATGTATTCTGTTGGAAAAATCCTAGTTACAGAATATCAATAACATCTGAACGCGCTGAAGTGCCTCCTTTCCAACAGACCGGTTTTTCAATTACTTTTATTTCTTCTCATGAAACAATAGTTGAATATGTTGTACCAGATGAAATAAAAAAGTCATCTTTAGTATTATCCAAAGGTAGTACAAGACATTGCGTATCCAAACCCGGAGAATATAATTTTACACCTAAAGGTTGTCATGTGTACGATAAAGAAACATTTGTCTGGGATACAAATAATTTATCTCCAATTATTTTATCATCTTCTGAGCATCGTCATCAAGGAAATATTATAAGTTCTACTGCATTAGATGGAGGAGTGAAAGTTAAAGTTGAAAGTTCAAATGGCAATATTATGTAAGTCCATAAACAATGATTTACAAAAAGTAATTTATAATAATTTATAAAATGTAATAAAGTGTATACTTATAGAATTGGGCCATTGAAGTATACAAAAAAAGGAGATGTTTTTAAGTATAATTTTGAATTTACAACAAAGACTGGTAATGTATACGTTATTACTCCATTATCGGATATTCTTTTGTTTAATCCACCGTCAGTAAAAGTACTTGGAGTAAATGAATGTCATAATGACATTGCAACTTTTAATGGAGATTTAGGAAAGGTAGAGTAATAATTGTCCATATTAATATTATTTATTGAAATGACAAACAATAAAAAACATATATATATATATATATTAGATTATAGCTGGAAAAATTTCACCTCCTTTAGAAGGTGTAACAGTACAAATATTTGGCAAGGATAAAAAATCTCCAATGCATAGAATAATTACAGAAAAAGAAGGAACATACAGTGTTGGCCCATTGGATGGAAAAATAGAATATAGGTACTTGTATATTCATATAAAACATGTATCATTATATAATACTTATTTAAATTCTACTATAATAATTTTTTAATTAAGTATTACAGCTGAGAAAGAAGGTTTCGTGATAACAGGACCAAACAATAATGGAATATTTTTAGCACGCAAATTAGCTGAAATTATAGTGCAAGTATACGATCAAGCAGATAATTCATCCTTACAGGTACGATAAATATATATTTATTTATTTATTTCAAATTACATTTTTTTTTATATATCAATGAAAAATGAAATATTTCTATCATACAAATAGGGCGTTTTACTTTCTCTCTCTGGTGGACAAAATTATCGTAAGAATAGTATAACAAGCGACGATGGAAAATTAATATTTAATTCCTTATCACCTGGTGAATATTATCTCAGACCAATGATGAAGGAATATAGATTTGAGCCACCATCAAAAATGATCAATGTGGCCGAAGGTGCAACCGTCATGGTAAACTTATTTGGCAATAGAGTTGCATTTAGCGCTTATGGTTCAGTTACGTCATTAAATGGCGAACCAGAAGCAGGATTATTGGTCGAAGCTCAAGGTCAAGAAGATTGTTCCAATCTCCAAGAAGAGGCGACCACCGAAGAGAATGGTACTTTTAGAATTAGAGGTCTTCAACCATTGGTAAGTATAATTAAGTTATTTAAAAAAAAAATTGAAAAAAAAATAATAATAATTGAATTTGTAATATAAATATTAATTCATAATATTCGTAATAGTGCACGTACATTTTACGTTTGAAATCTAACGTGGAGGCAAATAATCATATACAACGTACGAGTCCTGGTTCATTGATGTTACAAACCGGAGAGGACATACGTGGGCTTCGATTAATTGCTTTTCATCCAATTTCACGTACAGACGTTTCCGTTCACGTGGTGTCCGTACAATCAGAACATTATCGTACATTAAAAGTGAAATTATGCAGAGAAGACATGCCAGATTCCCCTATACATATATCCAAATTGGATACACAACATTCTAGTAAAATTGGTACTTCGTATAATGCAGGCTTCCTCGTACATTTTCCACCATTGCAAGCTGACAACAAGAAATATTTCATACAATTGGAATCATCCTTATCTCCTAGCTTGCATAAGTATAAAACAAATTCTGTTTATTTCGAAGCCAATTCCTCGTTTAAATATGTCAAATTAATGTTCAATGCTGAACGCAAAGTTGATCAAGGGGATATGAATCAAACATCCATAGTAGCATTACCATTTATAATGTTAATTACAGTAGCATTTTTAAATCGTGAAAAATTATGGAGTTGGCTCAATACATTGGTCGAAAGATGGTCTAAACCATCACCAATTTCTAGAACACCAGTACAAGCTATTCCTATTGATCCAAGAGCAGATGATATTATTGTTGAACAAATAATGAATATTAATAAGAGAAAAACTAAGCCAAGAAAAGCATAACATTATAAGGATCTTTTATTTCAGCATTTTACACACGAATGACGTTCCTATTTATGGATCTCATTTATTTTCAATTACCCGTTCGTTTAAATTAATGATTAAATTATATACCCGGATTGTTTCAGTAACGTCATCATTATGAATTTTAATGTATTACAAATATTTCGAATAATAATTGCGCCATATTTCTTTAACGCATTCTTCATTGATTGTAAAGTGGAATCTTAGAAAATTTAATATATTATATATATTTAATAATTTACGTATATATATTACATATATATATATATATATATATATATATATATAGGACCAAGTCAATATATAGAATAATAAGATTCATGTTTTACATAAGTTAGGTAATATGGAACGATTATATATAATAAGAAAAAGAAAATGAATTGTATTAGATTATAAAATGTAACTTATAATCGTTTGAGATAAGAAAATTAAATGATATCAAATACAATGATATTATATATTACAGGTAAATGTTTATGATAAAAAAAAAAAAAATTTATCATTTTTAAAGTTCAAAATATGTATATTTATTAATACTATGATTTTTTTTTTTTTAATGTTTTACACATAATATAATTGTATACATGATTTCATCCATGATACGATGCATGTCTTTTTAATCACCTGCTTTGTAAAATCGCAATAGTTTGCAGTTTCCTTTTCCTTTCTTTTTTTTTTTTTTTGGTTTGTTTGTGTTTTTTTTATTCGTTTCACTCGTCGAAATTTAAGGAACGAAATATGCCTATAGAAAGGAAAAAAAGAAAGAAAAGTTATTAATATAAGATAGGAGATTAAAAAGCGTAATATTAATATATTGTTTAACATACCAAAGGATTTGCAAAATACAAGCACTTATTAAAATTGTATGACAATTCGCATTTATCAGAACCAGCTGAAAATTACAACATACGTATAAGGTGCGTTCATATATATATATATATATATATATATATATATATATATATATATATATATATATATATATATATATATTTTAACATTTTTCAATGTGTGTATATATATATATATATATTTATAAATTTTAAATGAAAAATATAAATTTAATGATTATTTTTTGAGTATATACATATATATATATATATATATTTATGCATATATACTTACTGACATCACGACACTCGTTGATCATATCTTCAGCCAAAGATTTCCATATTTCTGGTATGGACATTAAAATCATTTTGAAATTTAATTTACCATCTTTGGTGAACTGATAAAAGAAGATATAAGTATCATCAATTCAATATATCATTGAACCTTATTGTTTAAATATTAATATTTTAAAATAACTCTCTTTTACCATATTAAACTTTTCTAACATGCATTTAAAGTAACAACCGAGTTTAGCTTCTTCAGAAAAGTTTCCAATTTCTGCCTCGTCGATGATTTCTAGACAAATTTAATTTTACACATTTAATTGAAACAATAAAAAAAAAAAAAATAAAAATAACAATAAGAAGAAAAAAGAAAGAAAAAGATATTTCATCCTGTTGAAAGAAGAAATTCATTTATTATATACGTATATAAAATTTAGTTTTGCAAACGTACCCTCTGTTAATCCTATCTCAGCGAGACACTTTTTACGTTGAGGTGCAGTGATTTTTCTCAAGTCGACTTCAGCCTGACGTATGAAATAAAATATATACGTGAATACCGAAAAATAATATTTTATATATATATATGTATAGATTATCCAAGCCGTCACCATTAAAATCTTAAAAAATAAAATAAGAATAAGAGTCAAGCTCACCTCGACGAACGAAGCGACGAAGAGTGACGCGATCAAGAACAAATGTATTCGTTTCATTTTGAGAATTAAAGCGATAAAACAAAAAATAGGAGGAATAGAGAGAGAAAAAAAAAAGAGCAATATAGACCAATGTTGTTAATGGCAAATGAAAAAATCAAAAGGTAACATGGACGATGGCGTTTTATATACGATTTTTATCAAAAAAGTGGGAGAGTTATTGCATAATAATACGAAGTAGAATTTACAAAGAGGCGAGATTTTTTCTTTTTTTCTTTTTTTTTTTTTTTCATCTTCTTTTACAAAAACTCTTTGATAATCCTCGGCCAAAAGTATAGAGTATTTAAGGTGCTATTAAAGAGGTGTTATTATATATACTCTAGGTATATAATAATTGGGTGTGCGAGACTTGTCCAAGTGTTATTTCTTTTTTCTTTTTTTTTTCTTTGATATTATCATGCTGGCAAATTGTCCCTGATAAACGTTTGTTTTCCAAATTCGAGAATCTCGTGATCTCTATATGATCATTATTTTTAATTGATATCTTCGATTATATAGTGATAATAATTTACGATCGAGATTATGTCTGATCAGTACTCGTGCTCTACTACTTGCGATGACTTTCATAGTAACATATACACATGTATATCATATTACATACATTTATATATATATATATATGTGTATGTGTGTATATATATATATATAAATACGAATTGCTGCTATTACCTCACGTTTATCACTTGATCGTTATAAGAGAATTTTCAATTTATCAACACGTGCCGCCCGTGTTCTACTTTGTATGCGAGCCCAGTTGAGAATTGATAACTACAACACACCGCGATTTAAAGAGATCGGTCTAGGTGACGATTCCTTTATCAAATCGATTATTATTAATGATCATGATCCGGCTCGATCCCCGAGATTGCATGAGAGAATAACTCGTTCTTTCTTCTTGATCAAGCCTATAAATTCTTCTTTTTCTTCTTCTTCTTCTTCTTCTTCTTCTTCTTCTTCTTCTTCTTCTTCTTCAACTTCTTCTTCATCTACTTCTTCTTCTTCTTCTATATGTATGTATGTATGTATTTATAATATATATGTATATATGCACAAATAATTCTTTCAATGTGCATATATATATATATATATTTTTTTTTTTTTTAATAAATATACACACATACATAGATAATATGTTGGAGATTAAAAGTTACAGAGATATGCAATTATTAGAGAGGATTTATTTTTTTTAAAGACATTTTATAAAGTAGTACAACTTACGGTGTATACGGGACAATTATATGAGAATGTAAAATCACTTGATTGTATAAATCTCAACACATTCGGCGATATCGTTTCTTTAATATTTTTATTATATATATATACATATATATATATATATATATATATATATATATATATTATATATATAGGTGTGTATGTGTGTATATATATTTTTGGTCATCGTGCTCTTCAATTGATGAAAATTCATTAGAATAGATAATAGGTCTGAAAATATACGGATGTTTAATTAAGTGAACGAAAGAAAATATTCGAAAAGAAATTCTTTTTTATTTTTTTTTATTTTTCATTTCAAAAATAGAATTCATGCATTAATAAAAGGAAATGAAAAGAAAAAGAAAAAGGTATTATATAATTTAATTAAAAAATACTTACTCTCGGTGATATCTTAGCGTAACACATATTGAATTCGTACGCGTATTGACACTTGTCACCCTGAGCTAAAAAAAGAGAAAAAGGAGAGAAATATAAAAAGCAAGGAATTATCGATCGACAATTGACGAATAATATTAGAAATCGATTAGGTGTAATCGAAAGAAAATAAATAAAACTATGAATCATTTAAAAGTCATAATATTATAACTAAATGAAATATCTCTCTAATAATTTTATTAAATCTAATTTTCTCGATTACACATTGATCGATCTCTCGAGAATAAAATAAGTAAAAAAGAAAAAAAAAAAGAAAGAAAAAACAAAAAACAAAAAAAAATAAAAAAGAAAAAGAACTTAAAGGTAATAAAAAAGAAACATAAGAAAGAAATTTATGTACCCAGGTATTTACCAATCAGCTTGCAATCGCTAATGCCTTTCAAAACTTCCGCTCTATAAGCTGGGATTCTTTGAAAAAAAGTTAGCATACCGTTCAAATTTAATTCCCCTTTATCGTCTATTAGACCAAATTGTTCCCAGAGGCAATACATGTAACACTGCAATCGACATATAAACAGAATTATCTCGGCACAACTTTGAACAATTCAATTAGTCTCTCTCTCTCTCTCTCATGATCATGATTCTAAAGTGCAATACTTTCTCTGGACATTCACCTTTAATTCAGGCGTCTCCGGCCATTTATCATTTCTTACCGCTTCGATGTCAGCTGAAAAAAAAATTATTACAATATCAAATCGTAGATCAATAAGTTTATCCATACACATATCTATCTATATATATATATGTGTGTGTGTGTGTATTTAATTAATTTGAAAAAAAAAAATTATTTTTTATCATACCTGTAGCCACTCCTGTCTGTGTCTGACAAGCATTCACAACGCTAACTGCAGTAGCTATCATTTCGTCAGAAACGAAACTCGGTCGTTTCTAAAGGAATTGAAAAAAAAAAATTCATTTTTTATGAAACAACGAACGCTATGATACGATTGAAAACGTAATAAGTAGGATCCTGTGGAAGAGGGGGGGGCGAATTTAGGGGATGGGGAGTATGATCAAAGATATGGAAACATCGATCGATGAAAAAAAAACATGTAAACAAAAAGAAGTACGTACTTGTATTATATTAAAAAGGAATAATAAGTCAGATAATTATTGATATCATCTATTGATTGTATATTACGATAAAAAGAAATATTAATGTTATATGTTTCGTAGGATGATAGATTTAAAAAATAAATCCTGACCTACCCCGCAATGAACGAGGGACGTCTCGAAGAGACAAACGAGCAAAACGGCGATAAGTTTCATCCTTGTTTGTTTACGATAATAGCGCGTCTTGTTTTGTTTTATTTAGTTTCGTTTTTTTTTTCCTTTTTTCTTTTTGTTATTCAAAGGATCGATTTTAGCTTTGGCGTCGGTCGTGATCAAAATGGGGTGGATTCTACGAACTCCCGATGGCTTCCCGTTCGGAATTGATTTCGATTCAAACAAAACCTGATAACGATGACTACTTTTTTTTTCTCTTGAAGCCTCTCTCTCTCTCTCTCTCTCCCTCTTTTATTTTTCTTTCTCTTTTGCTTTTCCCTTTTCTTAATCCACCTGAGAACACGAGACGAACGTGCGTTCTCGTGCGTGATAGTACTGGCTGACGTTTCGTTGGTTGCTGACACGACCGCCAAGCGCGAGGGTGGAACTGATGATAGGCATGATAAGAGCAGATCGAATGGGGTGGGGTAGGGTGAGGTGTGGTGAGGTGTGATGTGGTGAGGTGTGGTAAGGTGGTGGTATCCCGGTTCAGGGGACTGGGGGAGGTAACTCCATAGACGCATAGAGAAAACGCCAGATGGAGGATGCTGCTGCGTCCGTTTGCATTTGGACCATTCGAAAGAAAAGAAAAGAAAAAAAAAAAAGAAGAAGAAGAAAAACAAAAGTAAAACAAATAATAACATGTACTTCTTTTCAACTACTCCCTATTGAAAATCCTTCAAAGAGGAATATTCAATCGATGATTTTACGATCGAAGATTCATCACATTTCTCTCGAATTTATCGATCCTCATCCCTCTTCCCATTCTTCCAGTGAAACGAAGTAATTGATCGTCATTGATCGTGATCACTGATCTGATTTGTAAAAAAAAAAAATTCTAATTCCTTTAAAAAATCTGTCAGTCTGTATATATATATATATATATATATATATATATATAGTATAGGTTGTTACTACTTAAGTCTGAACAAAATGGCATGTGACTACTTTTCTCACAGCTTCTTGTTCGTACAGCAAATGTATGTGTGTGTGTGTATATATATATATATGTGTGTTTGTAACGATAAGAGAAATAATTTTTGTAGGACAGATTCGTAACGCGGTCTCTTTCGATTCTAGGCCAGTTGTGCTTGTGATGCATAGTTACATTTGATCGGCGGATGTTACCAGTTTACGATCCCTAACTCTTGATACTCTCTTGTTCGACTCCGCTCGACAGTCAAATAAGTACCTTGTCCCCATTTTTTTTTCTTTTTTTCTTCTTTATATATATATATATATATATATATATATATATATATCTACAAAATCTCGAAAAATTCAGTCGCGCATGGACAAACGGATCGGATCGATCCATAATGATCAAGGATCTCTCTCGATAATTATCTTTTGAAATCGACGATAATATATAAAATTTCTTTTTCAATTTAACTTCATTCAAGATAACATTTATTTGTCATCAGAGATTACATTAACGATAATAATTATCATAAGATCGTTATTAGAAAAAAAAAAAAATAAATAAATAAATAAAAGAAAAGAAAAGAAAAGAAAAAAGAGCAATGCGCAAGTTTTATTTTATTAATTTATCATTAATTTAAATATTTATTAATTAATTCAATGGACAGCTCTAATTTTTTTTTTTTGTTACATTTAAATGTTATCGTGAAGATTATTTTATTTTTGTTTTATTTATTTCATTTATTTATTTATTTATTTTTTTTTTTCGTTCGTTCAAGATACGATGAGTCAGTCAATAGAATTCCGGCGAAGGTAGACGAGCATAGCCGAGAGCCAACCTTGAATAACTTCGTGTGTACAGTCGCCAGTAAAATTATTGACCAATTTGTATTCGCTTAACCATATTCTCGATGGAGATGATTCTGTGTTTGGTCTACGATAGTAAATTGAAAGAAGAAAGAAAGAAAGAAAAAAAAAAGGAAGAAGAAGAAACCGAAAATGATTTATTATATTAGAAATGAATTTTCTTTCTCTTTCTCTCTCTCTCTCTTTATTTTTTTTCTTCTCCCTTTCTTTTACAACATTATCATTCCGATCACGGATCATACTTTACAAACTACTCACATAATCGGACGCAACATTATCGTTGACTGTACTTTTACCGTCAAACCACCGCAGAGGTACAGTCTTCGACCGTATTACTATTGTCGTTCTCGTTCCGACGTTATTTTTTTCTTTTCGTCCGTTTTTATTTTCTCCTTTTTTTTCTTTTTCTTTTTTTTCCTTTTACGAATCGTCGACAATATTATGCGAAAAGTGCGGTTCAAAGTAAAAGGAAATGAGATAAAAGAAAGGATAGTAAAAGCAAAAAAAAAAAAAAAACCAAAAAAATCGCGCGCAGTAAAGGAAAAAATAATATCAATCTTTACGCGCGTTTCAAGTAAGAAAATTTCGTTTTATTGCGTGCGTGGAATGAAATAAATAAAAAAGAAAAAAGAGTGGGGAGGGAGGGAGAGAGGGATGGGGAGAAAAAAGGAAAAAAAGTTCGAGGAAGAAAATCCAATTGGAAAATATTGTAAATATAGATTTCTCAATTGTATGTGACAATATATTCTCGTTGGACTGTACGGTCGATGTCGTCGTACAGTCAACTTACGAACGAACTTTAATTGTCGATCTTTGTCGGATAGAGCTCTCTAGAGGAGTTTTTTTTCACGGATTCTCCGTGAAAAACAAAGACAAAAGAAAAGAAGTGGAAAATTTTTGAAGGATAAAACATATTACCACGTGATCGTAATCTTTCTTTTTTTTTCTTTTCGAAAAGATATTAATTTTCATCCAATAGGTTAATCGTAAAACGTATACGAACGTTTCTATGGTTCCGTGAAATTCGAACGATCGGGAGGTTAAGATCGAATCATGACAAAATAATCTCCACGGGGACTGTACAGCCGAAGTTGTATTGACCGCGGCGTTTTCTCCGGTGCGGCGGATGTGTTTCATCGAACAAAAAAAAAACAAAAAAAAAAAACAAAAAAAAACAAAAGTAAATAAATAAATAAAAATAAATAGAGAAAAGAGAGGGGAGAAAAAATAGCTAAACGTACACACGTACGTACTATAACCGGCTAAATGTTAAGCATCGAAAGGATTTACTCGTCGTAAGGCGTTCTTTAGTGCGCGTTAAATGTCGACAAGATTGACGTGAGGTAAAAATCATACCTTTCCTTTTCGTTTCTCTTTTCTCTTTCTCTTTCTATTTCATTCTCTTTCTTTCTTTCTTTCTTTCTTTCTTTTTGTTCTTTTTCGTTTTATTTTATTTTTCGTGCCTAAGACGTCAAGGTTTCGTCGAAAGTCAAACGCAGAGCACAATGACGAAAACGAAGAAGAAGAAATATTTTTGGATCAATCGAATTGCATTGAAGTGACAATGACGTTTCGATTATATTATTTGGATTCGAATTTCATCAAAAAACACGACACAATTTATTATACATGTCGTCCTTTTTGGACGAATAAAGTTTGTAAAAATCTTGATGGTGATGCACAGCCATTTGTCACGTGGTTCTCCTACTTTTAATACGTCACTTGTCGCGTGAAATTTGAATTCTTTTTTTATCCTCTCCTTTACACGATTGTAAATAAGTTAAGATAATAACAATGGGAAAGACAAGGGGCGTACATGAAACCACACCGGAATTAAGAAATCGTATGGTTGGAATGTACGAGGCTGGCTTGGGACTTCGTGAAATTGCAGCTGCAGTTAATTGTTCGGTATATTTTCTTTCTAAATAATGATATATTAATGATTATTTTTATCCTTGTTGTTTACAAATTAATAGGATGCTTTATTAAAATATTCTATGGTGATTTTTATTACATTTGTCAGCAACGTACAGTCAAAAGATGGCTCAATCGATTCGATAAAGAAGGTAATGTGGAAACCAGAGAACGTTGTGGTCGTAAAAGAGCTACAACAGCTGAACAAGATGAAGCGATAATCAGGCTTGCTACACAAACACCTTTAACTGCTGCGAAAGCTGTGCTTCCAGCTTTAGGACTTACCTGTTCTGTTGATACTGTACGAGAGAGATTACATAAAGCAGGAATTCATAGTTGGACTCCATCTAGAAAATATATGCAAAGGATTCCACTTGGGTTGGTTTCATTATATATATATTTTAATATTTATCAATTCTACAGTAGAAGCACAATCTTTTCTATTTTATTGTATTCTTTTCTTGGCTTATATTCATTTTTTAGTAACGATACAGATGGTGCAGCTATTCAACAAGCCGTATGGAGACCTACTGGTACTCAATTAGGGAAAAAGAAATCAAATAAAGATACCAACAAGAATGATAAAACTATTCCAAAAAAGAAAAATCCTCCACGCAAAGTAAGAGCCAGAGATATATATGTTGGCGATGGCGCACCCGTAGATAATTTAAAACAATCTAACGAACAACAAGAGTTTGGATTTGCCCAACAAAATATTCCCCAAGAACAAACTAATGAAATACAAAATGCTACACAAGCTTTACCCGACAATCAAACAGAATTCAATAGTGGATTAACTATGAATCAACAGCCACAACCAATGTATCAACATCCTAGTATGAATATCGCACAAAATAATTGGCCTCTTGATCTTGTACAAGGCAGTCATCATTATCCACAAGTACGAATTCTTTATCTATGTAGTTATTCAAATTTTTATATCATTTTCCAATGTATATCATTGCTGATAAAGCATTTTTTTATTACTTGTATTAGGGTCAACCAACTGCAGTAACTCATAAGCCAATGGCACCTCAACATCAACTTCAAGAGCTTCATAGTCAAGGAGAGCAACATCATATGCAACAAGTGCAACAACAACAACAACAACAACAACAACAAATACAGCAACAAACTCAGCAAAGATTGCAGGAAGAAACGAATATTCATCATTCTAAATTTGACTCTCAGCAAGCACAAATTCAAGTCGATCATCAGGTCCAACAACAGCAAGAACAAAGCCTACAATCAAAATTGTCTAATCCTGTGAATAGTAGCACAAATATTGCTTCAGATAGTTCAAATTCGTGTAGTTCTCTTGAAAGTAATCAATTGTCAAATACAGATAGTGTGCAAGTTGACGATACACCAAAGGCAGAAAGTGAACATTCAGAAAGACAAAAGAAAAAAAAGAAAGGTGGTAAAGCAAAGGGAACACTAGAAACTAGTGTAGAAATTAGAAATCGTATGATTGGGATGTCGGAAGCAGGATTATCTACATTATCCATTGCATTAGCAATTGATAGATCGGTAGGTTTAAATATATCTTCATTTCATATAATTTTTGTATTTTAATAATATATATATATATATATATTTTTTTTTTTTAATAGGAACGTACTGTTAAAAGATGGTTAGAACGTTGGCATAAAGAAGGAAATGTACAAACGAAAGAAAGAAAGGGTCGTCGTCGAATTACCACTAAAGAACAAGACGAAGCTATTGTCGCAATGGCTACTCAACATCCATTAACAGCAGCAAAATATGTGGCTCCTGCTTTAGGATTGAAATGTAGCGTGGATACGATTAGGGAGCGCCTTCATAAAGCAGGAATACATAGTTGGAAACTTGGAAAGAAACAGGGGTAGTTATATACAGTATTAATATTAATGATAATAACAATAATACTAATAAAAAATATTTTGTAATATTTTAGAGAAGGTAATGCAGTTCATACGGTTCATCTTTGGCAACCTAGTGGTAATCGTCTTAATAAACCAAAAACTTCTGGAGATAAGAAAAAGAAATCAAGTGATAATAAAAAGAGAGATCATTTAACAAATAATATACAAAAACGAATATCTAGAAAAAAGAAAATTGATTCTTCTCCTTTAAAAGTTGTACCACCACCAGCAAATATGGTTCCTGAACAAGCTCCTATGCCTTTCCATAATCCGGCAACGAGTGAGTGAAATTAAAAATAAAGATTTAATAGATTTTATTGTCTAGCCTCGTATATATAATTAATCAATGAAATTGTTTCAGTGCCAAATTATGTTGGAAATAGTAACATATTGCAGCCTGTTCATAACATCTCTGCACCTCCACCATCAATTCCTCAACCACAACCACCACCGCCTCCAGGTCCACCTCCAGGACCGCAATCAATGCAACCAATGGGTCCTATTATGCAACAAAGACCCGATTGTAGATTAGCTCCTTCTATAGTTCCACCTGTATCTACTCAAGGTAATTCTGGTGCAGTTTATGCATCATGTTTGGTGGCAAATAATAATCACACAGGTCATATGGAACAACCCGATCCCTTAAATTATGAGCCATACATATGGAGCTTTTAAGAGGTAATGCCTTTTATTATAAGTTTATAAAATCTTTCTCATTTTTTTACGATAAAAATTTAGTTATTTATATATATATATATATATATATATAGTGAATCTTCTGATTAGATCTCACTAATTTTATGTTCATATATGTCATTATTTGCTGTGATTACTGCCTTTCAATTAACAAAGAAGAAAGAAAAAACTGAGAAACATAAAACGCTTAAAGTAAAAGTTTAAAATAAATTTATGTATCTTTGCACCTTTTGAAAATTTACGAACTATTTACACATAACTGTTAAGTATTCCATAAATTTTCAATGATAGAAAACATCATTAAAATCAGATGTTATTGTAAATACTTTGTAGAATGTAAATTTGAATCTGTCATTACAAAAAAAAAATGGCATGCGTGATTAGATATAATATAATACACCAAATGCATTACAAAATCTTTTAAATATTTCTCCTAATAACGAGTTGTCGTAATTAGTTATATTAAATGATGTATAAATCATTTTTTATTATGTATATATAAATATATATATTTAAATGACGTAAGAGGAATATTTATTTTAGGAACTTGTATTGCATAATTAAGGGAAAATAATTTTAAAACTAGTTGTTCCTCCGAGATATTGATCATAATTGTGGTATAGTAAAATAATACATACATTAATTTTTTTACATCTTAACTATAAATAATAAAGCAATATGATATTTTAAAAATGTTACAGATGGGTAGAAATTTGTATCAAAAATAGAGTACAATCTGGTATATTCCAGTAATGTGTAAAAATTTGAGAGTTAAAAAGTATTAGAGAAAAAGCATTAAAATTTTAATACTGTGTGTGTGTGTGTATGGGGGGAGTTCAATTTTATTGAAACTCAAATTAAATTATTTTATATCGATTATAGGAACATTCTACTATCATTTTTATTTCTTAATAGATATAAATTATGTATTTATCATAAATAAAACAGTATTCTTAAAGAACGTCCATATATAATACTGATAATACATATACAAGTTAATATATATAATTGTGTAAAAAAAAAAAATAAGTATTTGCATGTTCATATTACATTATATCAAAACCAGTGTTTCTTAACATTTGATTAGGATCTTTCAAAAAAAAAAAAAATGTGCAATTGTATACTGTATAAGTATGCAAGAATGATAATGTGTGCTCAAATATCGCATACAATCTGACAAATAAATATATCATATTGTATTTTGTTACAAGCATAGTAGTTTTGAGAATGCATACAAAAATTGCATAATTTATCATTATTATAAAATTAATAAAAAAAAGTCTGTATATCTCATCTGATTACAGTTTATATTTTTTCACAGGTTACCTACATGAATAAAGTATATCTCATATATCTAGTTATGATACATTTAAAGTATAATATTACAGTATTCCTACAGAGTTTCGAGAGGGAAAAAAAAAGAAAAGAAAAAAAAGTAGTATCAACTTATTATGAAAGTTCCCATATTCCTTTAATATTATTTATAACCTTTTCTGGATCATTTTTATGGAACATAAAAAATCCTTGGATTTGAGCAGGACTAACATTTTTCTTTTGAGCCATCACCTCGTTCGCAAATTGTTTTGCCATATCTCTTGTTACATTGTCAGGGGATTTATAAAATCTTAAGAACATTTGTTCAACTTGACTACAACTGCACCAACCTAGTGATATATTTTAAATTAATATTTTCTGGTTAGTTTTAATATTTATATATTAATATACATTCATCCTTGAATAGATACCAATATATTCTTTGACATCAACTCTACCAGGTCTCACAAGAGCAGGATCTAAACGTTCTAGATAATTAGTTGTCATAAATAAAATTCTTGCTTCTGTAGATGCAACACCATCCAAACAATTTAATAAACCACTAAACGTAACTCTGTTTAAACCATCAAATGCAGCTTTAACTGTAATTACAATTAAAAATTGTATAATGTATTATAGTATATTCAAAGTCATATTAAATTAGTAATAGGACAATAATAAAATAATATTGTCAACTTTACCTTCCTTAGATTCTTCTCTACTAATAAATGCAGCATCTATATCTTCAAGAAGAATAATCGTTTGTTGTGGAGCAACTGCTAATAAATGATTTAATCTATCATCTGTTAACCCACGTTCAGACAAATTTAAAACGCATATACCACGTTCTAATTCTCCTGCTAATGCTGTTATAAAAGATGATTTTCCACAACCTGGTGGACCATATAACAAATATCCTCTCCTATAAGGGATTCCTAGAAAAAAAAAAAAAAAAAAAAAAAAAAAAAAAAAAAAATTGAGTACACAAAATAATGAATTTTTTCCTTTAAGAAAAAAAATGTAAAATTCTTACCTCTATCGCTATACCATGATGGGGTATTAATAAAGTCTTTACAATCATATAAAATTCGTTCAGATATTCCAGCATCTAAAATCACAGACTTTATTGGTCTTTTCTTTTTAGGATGTCCAAATTGTCTCCATTCACTGCCCATTGCAACATACATTATAGTTTTTCCTTCGTGCTCCTTTAAAGCCATTTGTCTAGCTATGAAAAAATAATTTATACTAAATCCTTATTACTTTAAAGATTTAATAATTATATGTAGGAATTCAACCTTCTTCAAGAATATTAAAGTATAAGGTTTTGTCTCTTCCAAAGGCTGTTAGCTGTACCGTTTCCCATGGTACACCCATGTGCAAATCTAATGTTTGTTGTTCCCTTGTCCTTTCAACTCTTATCCAATTACCTTGATAACTATAAATCAATAATTATACATTAATACATTTCATGATTAATTTATTAATCAAGACAATGAGTTATTGTAAATGAAATATTACTTACTTAAAAAAGTGTGTTCCAATACTAGGTATAAAATCATATTTGGTTTTTATTTGACCTGTTTCCTTTTGTTCAAAACTTGTCTCAACGGATAAATGTTGAGTCTTTTTAGCACCTTTATGTGTAATCCATTGCAAAAGCCATTGATAACTTTTGTCTCGACATGGAACTTCCAAAGTAATCATATAATGTCGCCTTTATCATATAAGATCACTTAATTATCATATATATATATATACACATATATACATATATATATATATATAAAGAAAAACAATATATAGAAATTAATTTTCATTGAAATATTACCTAAAGAATATCATGCCCATTTGCATTCCTTTTCTTAATATAGCAGCACCAGCTCCTACGCCAAAAAGGCCAAATCCAGCACCAAAGTAAGGATTCTCCGATAGAGTATGTATATAATCGACAATTGTCATTTTTAAATAATTATTCGTAAGATTTTTAACACTTAATTTACATATTACTTGTTTCATAAAATTGAAAAATAATATTATTATAGGTTATATACATTGCACATTGATTATTGTTTTTAAAAAAATGACATGTTCCTTTTGATGTAACAATGATAAAAATTCTTTCGATTATTGTTTAACAAAAATGAAAAAAAAAAAAGAAAAACATTTACATTCAATTTCTTCAAATATAATTCATTGTAGAATAATTGAAAAGCTTTACTTTGTTTATATGTTATATAAATTAGTTCGATGGAACACGTGAAGTAAAATGAAAATAATACTACGATGTAATTAGTCAATGATTCTGTTTCATAATGAACGATAATAATTTCGATATATAACGTAACTTTGCCAATGATTTATCGTATCTACGGACAAATTCGTCAATGACTTAAAGTACATTTACGAAATAATTCGTCAATGATTTATCGTATCTACGGACAAATTCGTCAATGATGATAATACATTGACTAACTATACCATAGACATGCCGTTTAGATCATTGACGAATTATTCCGTAGAATCATCTTCATTTTACTAATTATTAAATTTTCAATTACGTTAAGACAATTAATTATTTCTATTGTAATAAATAATCATTATTGAATTAAATTATTATTATTATCTAATACCGATTCATAAATCGTACGAACGTTCATATATGTATTTCACGCGTATATTCGTATATCTTTTATAGGATCTCTGTGTATTCCGAAGTGACACGTGCAATACGTGGATTGGTCATTATTATAAATGTGTTCTCGATAATTAATACGATTTTTAATGAACTTTTAACGGTACGTAAAGTATTTTAGAATTATTTATATTGTAATATTTCGAAAATGATCATTCTCATGATATATATATATATATATATATTTAAGTGTGTTGTGTACTTCGACGGTGTCAGTTTTTAAATAACGAATTTTCATTTATTTTATTATTCATGTGATATTCGTTAAAGTTTAATGTTTTCACATTAAGGTATAATATTTTCATAAAGAAAAATTGATAATATTATTTGTTATAATATTATTGATTATTTATTTATTAATATCGGTGTTTATCGTAATGGCCCTAACCTATATACATCGTTTGATGTGTTATTAATGTATAAATTTCTTTACAATTATTTAAGTAATTGTTATAGTAAAATTGAAATATACATATAAATGATATTATTATTATTATTATTATTATGTATTAGATGTTATTATTATTATGTATGTTTTAGATGTGGATATTAGTACTTTTTTATTCATTACTTCTTTGCTCAAGAGGATTACAAGCCGATAAAAAGATTAATAAATATGTAACAACGTTGATTGATGCAAAATGGAAGGAAACCCCATTGGTTCTCGAAGCAGCTGAATATCTTAGCGATGAAAATTCAAATTATTTTTGGAAATTTATAGAAGCATATTCCGATAATGTTGACTCTATACAAAATGGTAATTAACAATATAATTAATTTGTATTTACTATTAATCGTATTAATCTAATATAGAATATATATATTTTTTTAGGCACGGAAAAGGATCATTATGAATTAATTTTAAAATTAGCTGGAAAGTATTTATCTCCAGCAGAAATTGCTGTTCTTAAATTAGGATTGTCTTTGCGGATTTATTCTACACGCGTTGAAATGTTTTCACAAATGGCAGAAAATAAAAATATTTCTACTTTAGAATGTTATAACGTAGTAGATATTGGTGGGAAATTTACTTGTTCCATTGAAGAAATAGATAACATAATAAAAGAGGTAACTAAAATATATTTAGTCTGATAGTTCTATTAACTTTTAATTTCTTTTGATAATTATATTTTATATTTCTTTCTTTTATTTTAATATTTTAGGATGAATGGACTAAGAGAGATACCTACAGTATAGATCATTATTATTTGGGATCTCATAAAACTGATAAAGTTATGATAATGTATGGTCAAATTGGTTCTCCTATGTTCATTGACTTACACACAAAATTGAAAAATATAGCAGATAAAAAAGGAATCAATTATATATTACGTTACTATTTAAAGGTAAAACAAAATGTTGATAGAAAACTTATAATGAAAAAAAACTTTTTAATATTTTTTCGTCATACATTTTTTTTTAATTGTAGGATAGACCAGACAGGAAATTACGATTATCCGGTTATGGCGTAGAGTTACAAATGAAATCAACTGAATACAAAGCTACAGATGATTCAGATATTAAAGATAATACTGGAAAAAAATCTGAAACGAACAATGATGGAATTGAAGAAATAGATGGAATCAATTTTATGACTTTGAAGTATATATTTGTTAACATATGATAAAATATATAGATCTTGTTTAATATTAATCATAAATATCTTTCAGAACATTGTATCCAGACAAGCATGCTGAATTAGAAGAACTACAAACGCATTTGCTTGAAACTAGTCATGAAATAGGAGCATTAAAAGTATGGCAGTTTCAGGAATTAAGTCATCAAGCAGCTGAAAGAATAATGAATTCTCCTACAGATGAAGCTCTTAATGTTTTAACGGATATCGCTCAAAATTTTCCAATGCAGGTAAGATTTAATATTTTATTTGCAATAATTCCTTTTGGTATTATATATCTCATGCATTGTATAAAAATTTATTTATCTCTTAGGCCAAATCATTAATAAGAACAAAAGTAAATAATGAAATGAAAAAGGAGATGAAGCTCAATCAAGAAATATTTTCTGGAAGTTTGAGTATACAGCCAACCGATACTGCACTTTTTATCAATGGTTTATTCTTTGATTTAGAAGCTATGGATG